AAGCATGCGTCCGGACACAAGCATGCGTCCGGACACAAGCATGCGACCGGACTCAAGCATGCGTCCGGACACAAGCATGCGTCCAGACACAAGCATGCGACCGGACACAAGCATGCGTCCGGACACAAGAATGCGTCTGGACACAAGCATGCGTCCGGACACAAGCATGCGTCCGGACACAAGCATGTGACCAGACTCAAGCATGCGTCCGGACACAAGCATGCGTCCGGACACAAGAATGCGTCCGGACACAAGAATGCGTCCGAACGCAAGCATGCGTCCGGACACAAGCATGCGTCCTGACACAAGCATGCGTCCGGACACAAGCATGCAACCGGACACAAGCATGCGTCCGGACACAAGCATGCGTCCGGACACAAGCATGCGTCCGGACACAAGCATGCGACCGGACACAAGCATGCGTCCGGACACAAGCATGCGTCCGGACACAAGCATGCGTCCGGACACAAGCATGCGTCCGGCCAGAAGCATGCGACCGGACACAAGCATGCGTCCGGACATAAGCATGCGTCCGGACACAAGCATGCGACCGGACTCAAGCATGCGTCCGGACACAAGCATGCGTCCTGACACAAGCATGCGTCCGGACAGAAGCATGCGACGGGACACAAGCATGCGCCCGGACATAAGCATGCGTCCGGACACAAGCATGCGTCCGGACACAAGCATGCGTCCGGACACAAGCATGCGTCCGGACACAAGCATGCGACCGGATTCAAGCATGCGTCCGGCACAAGCATGCGACCGGACACAAGCATGCGTTCGGACTCAAGCATGCGTCCGGACACAAGCATGCGTCCGGACACAAGCATGCGTCCGGACACAAGCATGCATCCGGACACAAGCATGCGACCGGACTCAAGCATGCGTCCGGACACAAGCATGCGTCCGGACACAAGCATGCGTCCGGACACAAGCATGCGACTGGACACAAGCATGCGTCCGGACACAAGCATGCGTCCGGACACAAGCATGCAACCGGACTCAAGCATGCGTCCGGACACAAGCATGCGACCGGACTCAAGCATGCGTCCGGACACAAGCATGCGTCCGGACACAAGCATGCGACCAGACACAAGCATGCGCCCGGACACAAGCATGCGACCGGACTCAAGCATGCGACCGGACTCAAGCATGCGTCCGGACACAAGCATGCGTCCGGACACAAGCATGCGTCCGGACACAAGCATGCGACCGGACTCAAGCATGCGTCCGGACACAAGCATGCGTCCGGACACAAGCATGCGTCCGGACACAAGCATGCGACCGGACTCAAGCATGCGTTTGGATACAAGCATGCGTCCGGACACAAGCATGCGTACGGACACAAGCATGCGACCGGACACAAGCATGCGTGCGGACACAAGCATGCGTCCGGACACAAGCATGCGTCCGGACGCAAGCATGCGTCCGGACACAAGCATGCGTCCGGACACAAGCATACGTCCGGACACAAGCATGCGACCGGACACAAGCATGCGTCCGGACACAAGCATGCGACCGGACACAAGCATGCGTCCAGACACAAGCATGCCTCCTGACACAAGCATGCGTCCGGACAGAAGCATGCGACCGGACACAAGCATGCGTCCGGCACAAGCATGCGACCAGACACAAGCATGCGTCCGGACACAAGCATGCGTCCGAACGCAAGCATGGGTCCGGACACAAGCATGCGTCCGGACACAAGCATGCGTCCGGACACAAGCATGCAACCGGACTCAAGCATGCGTCCGGACACAAGCATGCGTCCGGACACAAGCATGCGTCCGGACACAAGCATGCGACCGGGCACAAGCATGCGTCCGGACACAAGCATGCGTCCGGACACAAGCATGCGTCCGGACACAAGCATGCGACTGGACACAAGCATGCGTCCGGACACAAGCATGCGTCCGGACACAAGCATGCGTCCGGACACAAGCATGCGTCCGGACACAAGCATGCGTTCGGACTCAAGCATGCGTCCGGACACAAGCATGCGTCCGGACACAAGCATGCGTCCGGACACCAGCATGCATCCGGACACAAGGATGCGACCGGACTCAAGCATGCGTCCGGACACAAGCATGCGTCCGGACACAAGCATGCGTCCGGACACAAGCATGCGACGGGACACAAGCATGCGTCCGGACACAAGCATGCGTCCGGACACAAGCATGCGACCGGACTCAAGCATGCGTCCGGACACAAGCATGCGACCGGACTCAAGCATGCGTCCAGACACAAGCATGCGTCCGGACACAAGCATGCGACCAGACACAAGCATGCGTCCGGACACAAGCATGCGACCGGACTCAAGCATGCGTCCGGACACAAGCATGCGTCCGGACACAAGCATGCGACCGGACTCAAGCATGCGTCCGGACACAAGCATGCGTCCAGACACAAGCATGCGACCGGACACAAGCATGCGTCCGGACACAAGAATGCGTCTGGACACAAGCATGCGTCCGGACACAAGCATGCGTCCGGACACAAGCATGCGACCAGACTCAAGCATGCGTCCGGACACAAGCATGCGTCCGGACACAAGAATGCGTCCGGACACAAGAATGCGTCCGAACGCAAGCATGCGTCCGGACACAAGCATGCGTCCTGACACAAGCATGCGTCCGGACACAAGCATGCGACCGGGCACAAGCATGCGTCCGGACACAAGCATGCGTCCGGACACAAGCATGCGTCCGGACACAAGCATGCGACCGGACACAAGCATGCGTCCGGACACAAGCATGCGTCCGGACACAAGCATGCGTCCGGACACAAGCATGCGTCCGGACTCAAGCATGCGTCCGGACACAAGCATGCGACCAGACACAAGCATGCGTCCGGACACAAGCATGCGTCCGGACACAAGCATGCGTCCAGACACAAGCATGCGTCCGGACTCAAGCATGCGACCAGACACAAGCATGCATCCGGACACAAGCATGCGTCCGGACAAAAGAATGTGTCCAGACACAAGAATGCGTCCGGACACAAGAATGCGTCCGGACGCAAGCATGCGTCCGGACACAAGCATGCGTCATGACACAAGCATGCGTCCGGACACTAGCATGCGATCGGGCACAAGCATGCGTCCGGACACAAGCATGCGTCCGGACACAAGCATGCGTCCGGACACAAGCATGCGATCGGACACAAGCATGCGTCCGGACACAAGCATGCGTCCGGACACAAGCATGCGTCCGGACACAAGCATGCGTCCGGACTCAAGCATGCGTCCGGACACAAGCATGCGACCGGACACAAGCATGCGTCCGGACACAAGCATGCATCCGGACACAAGCATGCGTCCGGACACAAGCATGCGTCCGGACTCAAGCATGCGACCGGACACAAGCATGCATCCAGACACAAGCATGCGTCCGGACACAAGCATGCGTCCGGACACAAGCATGCGTCCGGACTCAAGCATGCGTCCGGACACAAGCATGCGACCGGACACAAGCTTGCGTCCGGACACAAGCATGCGTCCGGACACAAGCATGCGTCGGGACACAAGCATGCGTCCGGACACAAGCATGCGTCCGGACACAAGCATGCGACCGGACACAAGCATGCGTCCGGACACAAGCATGCGTCCGGACACAAGCATGCGTTCGGACACAAGCATGCGACCGGACACAAGCATGCGACCGGACACAAGCATGCGTCCGGACACAAGCATGCGACCGGACTCAAGCATGCGTCCGGACACAAGCATGCGACCGAACACAAGCATGCGTCCGGACTCAAGCATGCGTCCGGACACAAGCATGCGACCGGACACAAGCATGCGTCCGGACACAAGCATGCGTCCGGACACAAGCATGCGTCCGAACACAAGCATGCGACCGGACACAAGCATGCGTCCGGACACAAGCATGCGACCGGACACAAGCATGCGTCCGGACACAAGCATGCGACCGGACTCAAGCATGCGTCCGGACACAAGAATGCGTCCGGACACAAGAATTGTTGGTGCAACCCTATGGTTTGCACTCGGGTTGTTGTCCGTGTGCGTGCATGTGTGTGTGTCTATGGAATGGTATGAGGGCATGGGATAATATATATTTAATGCTTATAATTGTGTGTGAATGTTGAGTCATGATGTCGAGTGTATGTGTCGAGTCAATAGCGAGTTATCGCTAGACGCGTGTTACGCGGTCGTTTGTGTCTCGCGCGCGGTTTCTATTTTGTCGTGCGCGGTTTCTCTTTTGTCCTGTGTCGAACGTTCGGTGTGTCGCAGGTGTGTGCAGCAGACCCATCAAGAACTCAAGGATGAGTTTGTGATGAAGAGCCGAGCCTTGGTGTCGATCCACAAGTGATTTCAAAGCTCGCCAAAAGGGTACACCTCAAGATATTGAAGATAGTTACATTACTTTGTGTAGTGTAACATTTCACTTGGTGTAGGCCCTAGTGAAGGGTAGTTTCGAGACCCTTCGTGGTTGGGGACAGTGTGTTACTGTTCCACATCACTGTACCTTGGCTCTTGGGGTTTGTAGGAGCTGGGAGTCATTCCCAACTCGTAACTCTTCCTAACTCTTCCTATCTTGTGTTCTAAGACCATAGTGGCTGCCATAGTGCCGTTCGTTCAAACCAATCCTGTGTCGTCAATACTTGGTCAAATCGTGCGATCTAAATTGCCTATTGTAGGTGACAATAAGGCGCTCCAGATCCAAGTTGAATCAAGTCATTTGAAGCTGTGACCAAAACGCTATGAACGTTTGAAGCCGCTGTGCAGAAATCCGACTGTGCACTCTATCTTTCGTTTTAGGCACATTGGAGCCTACTGTGACTATAACAAGTGGTATCAGAGCCCCTCGGAGCAGTTTCGACAATGGCTGGACCTGAGGAAAGGGGTGGCAGAGGTGCTGGTGGCAGAGGAGAAGCCCAAGCTCAATGCCAACCCCGTGACTCAGCCATGGCGCCCGTGCAACCAAGTGTTGGCCCATCTAGGGATGAGCCTAGAGTGTTTGGCCTTGACAAGTTCAATGGTGACAACTTTGCTGAGTGGTCCTTCAGAATGGAGAACATATTTGACCACTATGACCTGCTGGAGGTGATGGAAGGAACGGAGAAGCGTCCCGAGAACGACCCGGAGAAGAGCCCGTGGGTGCGGAAGAGCACACAAGGCTACCTCCTACTTGGGCAAGCGTTGGGGAGCAGCCAAATCCGTCACATCAAGCCCTTCCAGCGTGAACCAGAGAAGGGACCAAAAGCATGGGCTGCTCTCAAGGGTGTACACGCTCCTGCAACAGCGGCGGTAGCTGTGGTGTTGGAACGGCAAATGGCGACGTTACGAATTGAAGAGGATGAAGCAGTTGAAGAAGGGGTGCAGAAATTCTTCGACTTGTTGACGCGGCTTGAGGGAGCTGATTTGAACTATAGTGAGCTCCAAAAGAAGACCAAGTTGCTGGCCCTACTCCCGGAGTCATGGTCCTCGCTCATCATCAACCTTAATCGTGACTTGCCCCGCCTGTCGCTTGAAGACGTGAAGCGAGCTATCCTTCAAGAGGATTTCCGCCGCCGTGAATTGGCGAGTGCGGATGGCGCTGGGGCAGCGAGCATCGGCCGTGGATATGGTCGAGGAAGAGGCAGAGGACGAGGGGGAGGAAGGTTTGGTGGCAGCAACTTCGGCGGAGGCCGTGGGAGTGGCGGTTACGGCAGCGACGAGAAGAACTACGGACGCGGTCGCGGCCGATTCGACGGCGAGTGTCACTATTGCCACAAGAGCGGACACATGTGGCGCGACTGCTACAAACTCCCTGATGGTTGGACCCCTGCTCAAGGCCAAGAGGGTAGAGGAGCAGGAGGAGGGAGAGGAAGAGGCCGTGGAGGCCGTGGCGGTCGCGGTGGCGGAGCTGCAAACATGAAGAGCGGAGACAACGACAAGGACCCGAGCGACGATCGATACCCAGGTCTATTCTACTTCGTGTCGACGCAAGTACCGGCTGGTCCAGAGAAGGATGAAGGCTTTGAGGAGCCAGCAGCTGTGGGGAAGGTGACCCTACACCCCCTGGACTATTGGGTGATTGATAGTGGCGCTACCTATAGCATGACACCTCGCCCGGACTTGCTCACCGAACTCGAGCCGTCACCGGTGAAGCATGTCACATCGGCTTTGGGGCAGCGAGCAGAGGTGAAAGGCATGGGGAAGGCCATGTTCAAGGGTGCTGATGGGAAAATGGTGGGCCTCAAGAACGTGCTTTGGGTGCCCAGCCTTGCTGCAAACCTGATTTCCGTGCGGCGGTTGGCAAAGGCCGGCATGGACACTAACTCGAAGGGAGCCAAGACCTACACCGCAAGGCTTGGCGATCGGATTCTTTGGGACCTTCATGAGGACAGGGATGTCTACAACGAGATGTGGCAGATCCCTGTGGTCCCAATGCCTAAGGAGAGGCAAGTGGCAGCAAGCGTCAGCACTAAAGGTGGAGCGGTTGGTAGCGGCGATTGCGCGGACGGTCGCGCTAAGGAGAAGGAGTCCAAGAAGTGCAATCTTGGAGGGACCAGCAAGTTCAGTGAACCTAAGGAGAGTGGTGCAGCAACCAAGGAGCAGCAAAAGGGTGAGGAGAACCCCGAGGCAACAGCGGAGGAGGACTACGGAGAGAGTATGTGGGGCGCTATTGCGAGCGCGGCATTCTCCAATCCAACTTCGGCTACGGGGGAGTGTGATTGGCTCACCTTGCATCGGCGCATGGGGCATGTGGCCCTGCCCATCTTGCAGCAGCTAGTGAAGAATGAGATGGTTGCTGGCATACGTGTGAAGGGGGAGCCCGTACTTGGCTGCCCGACGTGCATGCAAGCCAAGTTCACCCGTTTCCCATTCTCTAGTTCGGAGGCAACGGCTAAGGCACCACTTGATGAGGTGGTGATGGATGTGGTGGGCCCCCTGAAGCTTGGAGCTGCTGGAGCTGAGTACTTCCTCACTATTGTTGACGTCTACACCCGTATGACTTGGGTGTACGTGCTGGCCAAGAAGAGCGACGTGGCTGAAACGTTGAAGGCGGATTGGTTCCCGATGGTGGAGCGGCAACAAGACCGTCTAGTCAAGTCAATCCGCACTGATCGAGGGGGAGAGTTCCTGAGCAAGGAGTTTGGGTTGTGGCTGAAGAAGAATGGTATTCGACACTCCCTCACCATGCCATACTCCCCTACAATGAACGGCATCGCTGAGCGAGCGAACGGCACAATCACGGAGGTGGCACGCGGGTTGCTCATTGAAGCCGGGCTACCCGACTATTTCTGGCCTGATGCGGTGCGGAGCGCATGTGTGGCCAAGAACAGAGCCTTGACTCATGTGGGAGCAGACAAATGGGTGCCCTATGTGGAGTGGCTAGGAAGGAAGCCAAAGGTGGATATGCTTCGGGTGTTCGGGTGCATGTGCATGGCGCTTGTGCCTAAGCATCTTCGGCACAACAAGCTTGGTGCCAAGGCGGTGTGGGCCGTGCACTTGGGCATGGCTCAAAACAGCAAGGGATGGCTTCTTTGGGACCCATTCACCAAGAAGTTCTTGGTGAGCAGGGACTGCAAGTTCATGGAGAACTTCATGTACAAGAATTGGAAGGCGGAGAATGAGGCGAAGATAGGCGTGCGGTTTGGGGAGGTGAAGAGTTCCGGTTTGGAGCATGTGGAGCTGCCTTTGGAGCTGAGCAGCGGCAGCACAACCACGAGGCAATCCTCCCTTGTGAAAGGGGGAGAGGAGGCCACTGATGCAGAGGAAGAAGAGGAGGAGGTGCAGCAAGTGAGTGAGCGTGCACCGTCACTCCCTTCCCGTACCACGAGTGCTCCACGGAATCGAGCCACACCGCAGCAACGCCAAGGCCTTCAAGTCGCTGCAGCTGAGGAGGAAGGAAGGGGGAAGAGGAGAGTTCAACCCCCTAATAGGCTGACCTATGATGCACTTGGAAAGCAAGGCAAGACAGCCCTGGCCGGAGCGGCAATGATGGTCGGAGACGATGAGGAGAGTGACTACGAGGAGTGTGCCTTCGCGTTCTTCTCTCCGGTGGAGATGCCGGGAGAACCAGCAACTCTCAAGGAGGCTTTGGAGAGTAGTGATGCTGAGGAGTGGAAGAAGGCTTTGGAGAGTGAGCTGAAGAGCATCGAGGAGAATGACACGTTTGAATTGGTGGAGCTACCGGAGGGGCGTACGGCGATAACGTCCAAGTGGCTCTTCAAAATCAAGTCGGATGCCGACGGCAAGATCGAGCGTTACAAGTCTAGGCTTGTAGCCAAGGGGTACCAGCAGAAGGAGAAGGTGGACTTCAAGGAGCTGTTTGCCCCTGTGGTGAAGCCGACGACGCTGCGAACCCTATTCGCGGGAGCCGCCATCAAAGGATGGGTGGTGAAGCAAATGGACATTGTGACGGCATTCCTTAACGGCATCCTTGAGGAGGAGATTTTTATGGCACAGCCAGAGGGGTTTGATGATGGTAGTGGCAGAGTGTGGAAGCTGAAGAAGGCCCTCTATGGGCTGAAGTAGGCCCCTAGGCAATGGTACATGAAGCTGCGCGAAGTGTTGGAGGAGATCGGCTTCACTCCCTCAACGGCCGATCACTCCTTGTTCATGCTTGGCAAGGGGGAGCAGAGGAGCTTCATGGTGGTTTATGTGGATGACATTCTCATATTCTCACCCTCCTCTGACCTTGTGAAGGAGGTGATGCTGAAGCTGCATGACAAGTTCAAGTGCAAGTCCCTTGGTGACGTGAACTTCTACCTTGGGCTCCACATCGAACGAGACGTGGAGAAGCGGAGCATGCGAGTGCACCAACGGAAGTACCTGGAGGCGTTGGCTGCCAACTTCGGCCAGAGTGAAGGTCATGTGGCTACTCCCTTTCCCTCTGGGTTCAAGTGTGTGAAGGGGCCAGAGGAGGAGAGCGTTGGAGAAGAGGAGAGGCGCCGATTTCACTCGTTGGTGGGCAGCCTCATGTATGCGGCGGTAAACACCCGACCGGACGTCGCGTTTGCTACCGGGCAGCTGGCTAGGGTTGTGCAATGCCCTAATGAGGAGCAGGTAGCAGCTGGAATGAGGGTGTCCAAGTATCTTGGCCAAACAGCGACCGTTGGGCTGCAATACTCGGCGGCGGCACAAAGGCGCCAAAAGGGCGCGGATGGTGTTGAACCCGGGCGTTTGTTCCTCACCGCCTACTCGGATGCTTCATATGCATCAGAACCAGAGGACATGACAAGTGTGGGAGGCTTCATATGCTGTGTTGGTGGAGGCCCAACTGCTTGGGAGAGCAAGAAGCAGGTTGACCAAGCTTTGAGCTCGGTGGAGTCCGAATACATGGCACTCTTCCGTGCCGTACGGGAGATTGTGTGGCAGCGGCGTTTGTTGGCTGAATTGGGGGAGGAGCAGCAAGGACCTACCCCACTGTATTGTGACAGCCAAGGTGCCATTGCTCTTGCTAAGAACCCTGTGTTGCATGGACTCACGAAGCACATGAGGGTGAAGTGGCATTGGACGAGGAGCATGGTAACCGCGGGTGAAGTTGAGTTGCGCTACGTGAAGACCACGGGGCAGCCGGCTGACATGATGACCAAGAGGCTGGTGGAGCAGCAGCATTGGAAGTGTTGCAAGCTGGCTGGGATGGCTCTGAACTGACAGAGCAACACATCCTAAGGCCAACAATCCGAGGGGGAGTTTGTTGGTGCAACCCTATGGTTTGCACTCGGCTTGTTGTCCGTGTGCGTGCATGTGTGTGTGTCTATGGAATGGTATGAGGGCATGGGATAATATATATTTAATGCTTATAATTGTGTGTGAATGTTGAGTCATGATGTCGAGTGTACGTGTCGAGTCAATAGCGAGTTATCGCTAGACGCGTGTTACGCGGTCGTTTGTGTCTCGCGCGCGGTTTCTATTTTGTCGTGCGCGGTTTCTCTTTTGTCCTGTGTCGAACGTTCGGTGTGTCGCAGGTGTGTGCAGCAGACCCATCAAGAACTCAAGGATGAGTTTGTGATGAAGAGCCGAGCCTTGGTGTCAATCCACAAGTGATTTCAAAGCTCGCCAAAAGGGTACACCTCAAGATATTGAAGATAGTTACATTACTTTGTGTAGTGTAACATTTCACTTGGTGTAGGCCCTAGTGAAGGGTAGTTTCGAGACCCTTCGTGGTTGGGGACAGTGTGGCACTGTTCCACATCACTGTACCTCGGCTCTTGGGGTTTGTAGGAGCTGGGAGTCATTCCCAACTCGTAACTCTTCCTAACTCTTCCTATCTTGTGTTCTAAGACCATAGTGGCTGCCATAGTGCCGTTCGTTCAAACCAACCCTGTGTCGTCAATACTTGGTCAAATCGTGCGATCTAAATTGCCTATTGTAGGTGACAATAAGGCGCTCTAGATCCAAGTTGAATCAAGTCATTTGAAGCTGTGACCAAAACGATATGAACGTTTGAAGCCGCTGTGCAGAAATCCGACTGTGCACTCTATCTTTCGTTTTAGGCACATTGGAGCCTACTGTGACTATAACAAGTGGTATCAGAGCCCCTCGGAGCAGTTTCGACAATGGCTGGACCTGAGGAAAGGGGTGGCAGAGGTGCTGGTGGCAGAGGAGAAGCCCAAGCTCAATGCCAACCCCGTGACTCAGCCATGGCGCCCGTGCAACCAAGTGTTGGCCCATCTAGGGATGAGCCTAGAGTGTTTGGCCTTGACAAGTTCAATGGTGACAACTTTGCTGAGTGGTCCTTCAGAATGGAGAACATATTTGACCACTATGACCTGCTGGAGGTGATGGAAGGAACGGAGAAGCGTCCCGAGAACGACCCGGAGAAGAGCCCGTGGGTGCGGAAGAGCGCACAAGGCTACCTCCTACTTGGGCAAGCGTTGGGGAGCAGCCAAATCCGTCACATCAAGCCTTTCCAGCGTCACATCA